AACGAGCACCCGCTGCCCCCCGAGCCCAAGAGCCCCGGGGAGTACATCAACATCGACTTTGGCGACGCCGCCGTCTACTCTCCCCCCTCGCTGCCCGCCGACAGCCCGGCCTCCTCGCTGGGCCCGGGCACGGGCCAGCGGCGCTCCCCGCTCTCCGACTACATGAACATCGACTTTGGGTCGCAGTCGCCCTCGCAGTCGGGCACGGTCTCGGTGGGCTCCCTGGAGGCGCTCTCGCCGGGCTCTTCCTCCAGCACGAGCCAGCACGACGGGCGCTACCTGAAGTCGGCCGTGGGGGTGGCTTGCCTGTCCAGCCCGTCCGACAGTGGGGATTACACTGAGATGACCTTCGGCATGGCCACCACGCCACCCCAGCCCATCGCTCAGAAGCCAGAAAGTGCCCGCGTCACGAGCCCCACAGCGGGGGTGAAGAGGCTCACCCTCTCGGGGGTGGAGGCGTTCATCCTCTCCAGCCCTCCCCCCGACCCCAACCGGGGGGCCAAGGTGATCCGCGCAGACCCCCAGGGGCGACGGCGGCACAGCTCCGAGACCTTCTCCTCCACCACCACTGTGACCCCCGTGTCCCCCTCGTTTGCACACAACCCCAAAAGGCACAACTCGGCCTCGGTGGAGAACGTGTCTCTCAGGAAAAGCGAAGGCCTGGAGGAGGAGCAGGGCAGCAGCCCCATGTGCCGGGAGACCTCGGCCGGCTTCCAGAACGGCCTCAACTACATCGCCATCGATGTGGTGGACGGCACCCTGGCGAACTGTGACAAAGCCAGGTCGAAAGGCAGGCACGTGCTGAACGGGGGCATCAACGGGCTGGAGACGAGCGCCTACGCCAGCATAGACTTTCTGTCCCACAACCTGAAGGAAGCAAGTGCTGTGAAAGGTGAGTAGCTCCGTCCCATAGCCATGCATCGTGTCGCTCCCTACGGCATTACATGCTCCCATGCAGGGTGCCCCCCTGGTCCTTCTTAAGATTTCCCAGACGGGTCCCCTAATAAAGGGTGTTGGAGGATTCCTCTCTCTTTGTACAAGAGAAAGTTTAATTTGGGGCTATTTCCTCGTATTTAAATTCTGCTGCTGCGCTATTTTGAGTGTGTGCACCTGGACACTCCAGTAGAAGGTAATGTTGGCACAGCTACTGTGTTTGGGTGACTTGAGAGTTTTCTTACGTGAGATTTTTGAAAAATGTTTGGAAAATGTGGCCCAAATAGTTTATGTTAATGCAGCATCCAGATAAAATGTGAAACGTAAAAATGATTGAGTTGAAAAGAGTGAGGGAGATCAGACAACAACAACAACAACAACAAAAAAAACCAAAACACCCCTTGGCTGTCTAGCTGGGTAGGTCTATTATAACAAAATGAGAAGGATTCATTTAATATCTTTTTAAATATCTCTTGCAAAAGTTTAACAGAAGATCATATTAATCACGGTGAAATGTTCTATCTAAAAAAGAAAAATCTTTCCAGAGGTCACGGCCCCTTGTTTTGCACATTTTACTCAAAGGCCTGCCCCACCGTGGTGTGTAACCACGTTCCAGCTGGCAGTTCAGAATGTGAATGACCAGTTGGTTGGCTTGCTTTTAAAAGGACTGCAAATGCCCAGCTTTTCAAAGACAAAAACAAACCCAAGAAATCTGCAACTTAGGGTGAGGGAGAATTTGTATTTTGATTATGTAGCTGTTCCTTTGTTGAGGTGCTGGTTTTGGTGTAAAAAAAAAAAAAAAGGAGTAAAAAGAGAAAGAAAGAAACAACCCCCACCCCTGAACTGCAAGCCACCTCCCCTAACAAGTGAGAAATTATAGGCAAGTGAAGAGCACTAGCTGAGGAGGGCACAGAGCAGGCAATCTGTCAAGGATTAAAAGTTAATGACGAGGCACTGCGGGGATTCTCGTTGCTTTTGCATTTATGCAAGACCTGGTACTTTAAGCCTGTGTGTATATAGAGCTGTAATGTATGTTTATAGCTGTAGCTAGCTGAAACGACATACGATTTAGAAGTAGCTGCTTGGAGGTGCTACAGGTATTGCTTCTGTATTCATAGTGCTGATAGGGGACATGAGTTAAAAGCAAAAAAAAAGTGCCTGTTTGTAAGTTACTTACAGGGTCTTTTTTTTCTCTCTGTTTTCTTACTAGCTAGTTGATTTTGAAGAAGAAAATATTTTCTCTTTTGATAGGAAGTACAGGAAGATGGAAAAGATGAGAGCTCCACCGTTTGCAGAGCAAGCTTTGAACCTAATTAAGACGAGAGGATTGTTGAATGAAATGTCAAAGCTTTAAAGGATGAACACTTACTCTGAATGACTTGGAGGGCTGAGGGCAGAGCATTATTTGTTAGTCGTTTTTAGCTTTGCTGAAGTCAGATTCAGGATTCGCATGGCTCGACTAAAAACCACTGAATGCTGCGATTATTGGTTACTTTTGCCTTATAAAAGTCAAGCCTTGGAATTCTGTTCCAGGACACATAACAAACTATTCTGCACGTTTCTTTGCAAATTGTTTCTTTCTTCTTTTTTTTTTTCCAGAATAATTGATTTTTTCTTGAGCCACCTACAGCCCCAACTGCAAACCAAGCCCATGTTGGGAAAGAGCTATTTCCACAACATTCTCCAAACTGCTGACCCTAAGGCAAAGGGGGGGAGCAGGGGGAGGGGAGGCAGCTGCAGAGAAAACCTGGAGTGGATACGAGTTCTCTCAGCATCCAGGCTAAAAGCAGAGGGAATAAAATAGTCAATCAGTGAGGATAAGCAGGAGGAATTGACTCCCATCCTGCTAATGAGGTAAACAAAGGGGTAATGCAGTAAACACAGTGATGTTAATTTGGTGCATGGCGTACAGAGGAGAAGGTTTAATTCTATGAAATATTTGACAAACAGTGGTTATAAACTTGCCTTATTTTAATATTCAATCTCTGTGAATATTCATCCTCCCTGTTTCCCTAGGAAGCTTATAAATGTAGACCACAATCAGAAGTGTTCTGGGTAAACTCTTTAATCTCTACGTAGGAGGCAAAGCTGTCCTCTCCACCACTCTGCTTCCCTGAAAAACGTGTAAACCTATTGCGCCTCGTTACAGCTATTCTGCTCGGGGATTACTGTAGCCAATATCAGGGCACGGCGGTAAGAAAACAATTCGCACAAACATAAGTCAGCAGTGTTCTGGGTTGCATTTTAAAAGCAGGATTTCGTGTTAACAACCATATTTGTGGCAGACTAACCAGAAAATTAACAGCACGGGAAAATAGAAATATAAATAATTCTATCAGTATAAGTAGAACCAAGCCATTCACTTTCGCAAATACCCACGTTTCTGTTTTGGTTTTCATTAGGATTTCGCACTGGAGTTTGTTTACAGAACTGCTACTGCCACTGTTAAAAGATCGCTCGGTTTTGTGCCAATGCATATAAAGTCCAAAACCAGTAATTTGACAGATTACTAAGACTCTCTTGTTTTACAAAGAAACACGTATGCAATTTAAAGAAAAATGTATTTTGAGTGTAAGCAGGAGTAAACTCTGTTTACTATTGTAACACTGTAGTAATTCACGTAGATTTGAGGAAATCTCATTTAGCAGAATGAATTAATAGTTTGCACAAAGAGAGCTTTTGCCATGTATGATCAGCATTGTTTATTTAGATCTTTTCACTTCTTCTGAATTCTGTTGTATTATCAGAGTTACTGAGTGGGAAGTTCTGCTGCTTCAAAACTAAAGAAAAGTTCAGAGCTATTTTACAACAGTGGAGAATGCGCTTTTGTTGTTTAGTAACGGGGACAAGAAAAGCTCTTTCAGAGATACTGGGTGTACAAGTAAGCTTCTTGCGGGGGGTTTATCGGTAAAATAATGTTTCCATGAGTGTAAAATACTTGTTAAAAATCGATTGGAATTCTTTCTAAGGGTCTGTAGCAATAGAAGTGAATGTTTTTCATGTGGGTAACAAGACTTAAAGGAAATTATTTATATCATTTGAAGTAATAAGGTGGTTGGCTTTCATGTGTGGCTTGTCTCTGCTGTCAGTAACTTATCTCTGCTGTAGGGAATGCTGTACTTTGGGAATTTTCTGTCCATATTATCCTGTTGTGACAAGGGCAAGCTAGTACAAACAAAATAGCTGTCAAAACAGAAAAATTAAAAGATTGCTTAAAATTATCAGCTTGCTTAGTTCTACTGTACTCTGAAAGTATGCGCATATTTAAATTAGCGTCTGAGAAACACTTGCCTTCATCTGATATGTAAATAAAATAAAACTGTGACTGGTCAGTGGAAACTCTTGTTACATGCTGATAATTAGTTTTGTTCTAATATTGACTGCTTTTTTTTGTTGTTTAAAGAGGTGTGAACTGTATATGGTTTTTATTATTTATGGAGACATTTATGCTAATTTTCTTATATAATGTAAATTATTTATTTAAATGGATTTTCGACAGAGTATACCACTGAACGATCTGACTTTTTATGGTGAAACTTAGCTCTAGCTGATTTAAATGAGAGTTTTACCTTGATTTCAGCGGTTGTAATCTTGACATTATTGAGTAAAATTCCCTTTAGATATAGTGCTTTTTTTTGGAGCAACTTTGAAATCGGGAGTTTTGCCTAACTGTTAAAACATCAAACTTGGGTGTGATATCTTCAGTTTTTGTTTGCTTGTTTGTTCCTACAGCCACAGTGCTCTGTAACCTTTAAAGGTTTCTGCATAGTCTAGTAGTTCTGGTCTAGTTTTCTAGAGCTGAACAAATACTGTGTATAATGATGAAGAAAACTGAGGGTTGTTTTCGTCCTATTCAAGTTTCTCTTCTCTTGGTTTATTTAAAGAAGACTTCATCTGTAATGCATCTACTTAAGGTAGTAGTAAGGTGATTTGGGGTAATGATAATGAACCCTCCCCCCTTGTCAATTAGCTCTTGCTTTTGTGAGGGTTCTGTGATTGCACCTAACCAATAAAAAGCCTATCTTAAGAAATCTCTTCCTGTGTCTTTCTAATGGCAATTTAGATTATTTAACACAAAACTCGTTTCCTCTCTTTTTTTTTTTCCTTTCTGAATTACTTTGTACGGTGAATTATATGAAGATATTTTTTCTTTTTAATATGACAACTGCCGTAAAGTTTTGCTTTGCAGTGCAGCATGAGAGTGTATGATTGCCCCTTTTGCAAGACTTGTATTCATTTGTAAAAGACTTGTTAAAAGTATTAAAATAATTTTATGTTGTGTTAGGAATCTATGCATCTTTTACAGTCTTTTTTTTTCTCTTTAGAATAAATTATTTGTAAATGCAGTATTTTCTCTTACTGATATATTCTGTGAAGTGAAATGATTGCATCAAAACCAGAAGCTGAAAGAACTCGACTACTCTGAATATCACACATAACTTAAGCTTAGAATTAAAACTGTAGGTTCTCTCTTAACAGCTCTGGAAATGCACTTCTTTTCTTTCAGATTGCATTTTACAAGTGACCAATTCTAAAGGGTTAGGTACCAATCTGGCAATACTATTCATGAAGCACAAAATACTAAATTTATCTAAAATTAATTGAAACCTTTTATATTTTAAATTACGATGATTATATGGATCTCAGCTTTTTACAAGCTGGTAGGATGTTAAAACATGTAACGTGTATTAGACTTTTATTTTGCTTTATACTTTAAATTATGTGCAACTATACTGCTCGTTTAAGGAATGTCATGGTTACTTTGAGTCATTTAAGATAAATTGTTATAGACTAAGTTGAATGGTGGGTTTGTTCTAAAATGAGCCAGTACAGTCATTGCTCAAGGCAGAGGAAATGCTTAGGTTGATGATTGCTTCTGATTACTTGATTTCTTTCAAGATAGCTACAGAGACTAACGTTCACTTGCAAGTAAAATGGATAAAGGAATGTTCGAACAAA